TCGAGGTCAGCGGTCTTCTGCGACCGGAATGCGCGCCAGTCTGTCCGAGTCTCCCACGTCGATATCATGTCTTCGGACACCTGGACGTCCCCCCGGATAGCGCTTTCGCGGATAGTACTTGACCATGCGACTTCGATAAGACAATCGCCGATGCGACGCATTGCCCTGCTGGCACTGGCGGTATTCAGTGTGTGGTACCCCATGTGGGCCACACCCACGATGCCTTTGCAGTGCGTCTTGATGGCCATCTTTTCGGTTGAGGACCTTTCTTTGACCCTATGGAGCATCCTGTTCGATATCAAGGACGCATTTACTATATTCGGCTCGGCTGCCAGGCTAGCTGGGGTGTGGAGGAAGTGTTGGCTTATTGACATTAGATGGTATATGCCTGGGCTCGACTCTACCGCGAGCAGCCTATCTCGGTATGCTACCACCTTCCCCCCCGAACTCGGTGATGACAGCATGAACGGTTTTGGTTTCGAGAGCATGGGGCCCTTCGTGATGCTTTTGAGCTGATCTGCCAGCCGGCTCAATTGGCTCATTGTAAGTTCTACATTGACCTCCCCGCCCTCGTGGGGTTCTTCCGGGCAGTGATCGCTCGGAATAAATTTGAAGTTTGTTTTGCCGTCCTCGACGAACACCGCGACAGAGAGGTTGTCGTGCGACCAATCCACGAAGGCGCGTATGTCAGCGTTTACCCGCTGTGAGCCCTCGGGGATGTCTTTTTGACTCAATGTCGAAGAGGAGGAGATCTTCGTTTGAACATTTTGGGCTTTCTCTTGAAACTCACGGGGGGCGCTTTTGTCGATTTGTTTTCTGGGGATACAAGAGAATTCATGATCTTTAAGGTTGTAGGCCAAGGCTAGATAGTCGCGGTGGAGCATGTGGGCGATGTTCGCCCCTTGCCTCATAACCTCTTTGCTAGCAGGGTAGAAACGCCACTGGGGAGTGCACCCACTGTGCGGCTTCGTCCCGTTTGGCACACAAGTTCGCGATCGCGATTTGGGGGTCTTTATTGCCAGTTATATTTGCCAGCGATCGTACCAGTCGTCATCCTGACATCGACCTGTTCGGCATCGTCCTCATCTTCGTCGTCGTCCTCTTCGTCATCCGATGGGAGGTTCCCGTCGGGGAAATCGTGCCTCCACTTTGTGATGCCCTGGCCGCACATGAAGTTTTCGTCGCTGTACCCCAGGGCCTTCTCGCGTGCCTGGCGGATCTTTGTTTTCATTAGAGTGTGTTTACCGAGGGGCGTCGCCCTCTGGGCCAATTTGAGCGTTCCTCTCAGCCTATCAACATCGTCTTCGAGTTCTTGCATGCCAGACCGAAGTTTCGGTGCCGCATCCGCAAAGGCTATCTTTCGCGGAATTGGTTGCTGAGGATCATTCTTCTGGTATTGGGCTTTGATATTGCCATTGACAACTCGCGGATTCTCTTTATCGGGTAGTGGTGGTATGCTGCTATTTGCTCCTCGAGTGAGAGCTTACCTAGCACATCGTTCTTCGGGGCTCTCGGGGCCATGTTTGATTTCGGGAGTAGGAGGGTGAGCGCAATCGGGCGTGGTTGGTCGGATTTATGGGTGACCGCGAACAATATATGATGTGGTGCAAGAGGAAGATAGAGGGCGACCCCATCAACCCTGTACGCACCACTTCAGTCAATTCCTCCATTTGCTCTGGAAGCAAACGTTGAGGGGAACTGGTGTGAACATGCCCTCCGCATCATAGCCGATCTAACCTCACTGATGATGCGGCACACCGTTTTTTTTTTTGAAAGGTCGGCGCGGTTATTAGCGCCACCGCGCCAAGGATCGTATATGCAAAAGCAGTTGGATTCGCGACTGGCGCGACGCTGGGATTAGGGCAGCTTGCTGCAAGTAACGAGCTGGTACGAGACTGGGATTAGACTAACTGGGGACTGCATTTGGTGTGGTGGCACAATGCTTTAACTTGACAGGGTACAAGCCAGATTGGTACATACAGCCGGATGTTGGTTCATTTACCAGAAAAGGAAGGTGTTGGGATCTCCACGGAGCGATGCTGCCAGCCACCAACATTTCAAATCACCTATAAGGACACCCTCTTCCCCTCACGTTACTCCTCATTCCACTCTATTCAGTCCTGACCACTTCATCCCCCATTATTATTTTTCCACCCTTCGTTATCTTCATTCCTCCACAATGTCCATCAACAATATCCCAGACGCATTTGACGAATATTTCAAGCAACCCCCCACTCCTGGAACATTCAAACCTTTTTGCAACGAGCCGTAGACAACGCCAGCTTGCAGGGGCATCGCTATAACCAAGACCTCACCCATCAGGCGTGGAATAGGAACATCAGAACCCTCATTCACGATATCGATCCGCAACGCAGTAAACGCGCTGGCGAGCTGCTAAGGAAGTGGTCCGCCAAGGTCCGTATATGTCCCCCACGCATTCTTTTTGAGAATATCTCGAGTGAGAATATATCGTGCTTGATATATACATACCGGGCACATACACATTACGCATGTAGCCATATGGCTTATGTGGTCCACGATTACAGTCTCTATGGCTTATGTGGAAGTAGCATTCTACTATATGGTGGATGCGTAGAACATTGTCTGCCACCAGTGCGTCAAAGGGCGTCTGGTGTGAGTGGGCTTTGTCGGTTACTGACCTTATACTTCTCTCAAAGGGTCACAAGTCTGATAAGGCACTCGCAAAACGATTTCACACCGCTGCACAGTCGCCTCGCCCCAAAAGCAAAGTCTTCATTAATCGCACCCAAATAGAAACCAACTTGGGAAAGGTCTACACAGGCCGTATTTTGAAACTCAAGAAGCCTCGCAACAAGAAGGCAGATACCCCTGATACGTCGGTCGGTAGCGCTGATACGTCGGTCGGCTGCACTGATGTAACGTTGCCACATTGCAAACAACTTACTTTGACAATTTGCTAAATATTCATAGTCTCCACCTGACTCCACCGAATCTGCTGAACCTGACACCATATATCTGATGGAATTGGACCCCGCAGAAAAATTGTGTTTACCTACTGGAAAATACCTCGAGGACATCATTCTTAGATATGCCCGAAGTGTAGAGGCTCTGGACTTGAGCCATTGGCGCATTATAGACTCTGCTGATATTGAACTTCGCGCAATACTCCACCGTCACCTGTGGGAGTCACTTCCCGAACTTAATGAAGATTATCCCCAATGCCCGGCTTGGTTCTCGGCCCATGCTGATAAATATAAAATGGTACGTCACCTGCCTTTTTATATTGATTACATCGTCTAACGCTTCACTAGGTGCGAGATCTTCCTGCATGTGACAAGGTTTCTCAACTGAAGGACCCTCAACACGATCCCTTTGTGATCCGCTGGATTAACCGTTCCTATGAGCATATGTAAGCCCGCTTCATATGCTTTTCGGTTTCAGATCTAATGGCGCGTAGCGTATCTCTCCTCACTCACTCCCATTTACTCAGTCAACCGCTTGGGCGAAGGGGCCTGGGAAGGTATATATTGGAACATTATTGACCTCTCTTTCACGAACCTGCCTGATTTATGGCTTCAAAGGTCTCCAACTCGTTGCTTCTTATAAACAAAATGGGCTATCGGTTAATTATTTATAGACGCGACATACCTCTATCTTGTGCAGCAACTGATACCACGCTTCTTGTTGACGCCGCCTACCGCCATGACGGTGTTATTCTCACACGACAGCTTGGTCATCTCCCCCAGGTTCTGGAGTTTGGCGCCATTGAAGTGTCCAGGCGATGGGAAGGTGACAATGCTTCAAAGTGGAATAACGACATAGCCAAACTGTATGTTGGCTGCCGTGCAATGTTGAACGCTTTGAAACAGGTTGTCCATCATGACGCAGAAACTGTGAAGAAACTTTCAGTTGTTGGCATTATCCAAGCCGGTATTCTATTCTCCCTTTGTCTCTTTCTCGTTTGGCCTATTTTCTAATATATGCAAAGGCCCCAACACTATGGTGTTTATCATGCGCTGTGTTGGACCGAACCTTTACACCCTTCGTCGCGGCTCCCGCCATTCTCTTCCTAACCACATTGCGCACATTCATACATTGGACCGTGTTTTGGCTGCAATCTGGATTGCTCGGGTTGGCACCTCTTCCTTCCTGGTTTTATTCACTTCTAACAACTGCCAGGAATGTATTCAAAACTCTTACCGCGCAGTTTCGGAATATATGGCCCACCCTGGCTCACAACGCTATTCTAATTCTATGAACTCTCCTTCGTTTTTGTGAAATCTTTTGGTTGTGACTGGACTCTTTTTTGTTTCACGCATTCCGTGATCTGTTTGCAAATTTTATTATCATCTTTCTTTTTGGAATCTTTTTGTTCGCATAGTTTCTTATTTACGCCGAGTCTTGCTCTACTTGTATTACCGTCGTTGCGTCCCTTTGTAACAAGCTGAATCTTATTATAGTATATCTTTATATCAATGTGTTCTCTTTCGTTCGCGTTGCGTGTTGACGATCTTGGTCCTATCTCGTTGTTGACTTTCTGCGTAGCCCATACTCCAGTGTCTTCTATATTCCTTCCATCTGTTATGCCCACTACCACAATTGTAATCTAAACTTGCCGCGCCCTCGAGCCCATTTAGTGTGAAACCTTACGTTAGACAATATACGTTACATTATCTGCCTCCCCGATTCTCCCCTCCGTGCGTCCATCATTTATCTATCGCATGTTATCACCACCGCATTGTCATCAATTTCTTCCTCCCCGTGTTATATGGCCCATTGAAACATACAATAAACAATGCACATTATTAAATTATCAACTCATTTTTCTAGCGCTCTGAAAATATTCCCCGTCTGTCGCCTGTGGGTCGGTCTTCCGTACGTCTGTCCCAGCATCATTTATCTTCATCACACATTATCACTCGCATCATCATAATACTTGAATTATCAACTCATTTTTCTAGCGCTCTGAAAATGTTCCCGTCTGTCGCCTGTGGGTCGGTCTTCCGTACGTCTGTCCCAGCATCATTTATCTTCATCACACATTATCACTCGCATCATCATAATACTTGAAATATAATCTATTTGGTATTGAGTATATCTAATTACATATTCTAACATAACAAAAGGAAACTAAATTAATAAGGTCTCGGATAAAGGTAAATGGAAATGGATTCTACGGAACGAGTGACATTACACATAAAGTCTGATATTATGCTCGCTGTAAAAGTGACTCTTTAGGTGCTCGCCTTCATCCAATACATGTGGGCACGCGCCGAAAGGACACATGACAGGCTGCTTGGAGCTAATATGGATGTCGTGACGTGAATAGATATGTTTTCGAAGTGTCCCCTCCGAGTGAAAACTGTGTTCTCTATCCGTTTGTTGTAACTCACTATCGCTAAGACAAAAAGGGCACTGTTTGGGCCCACTCGCCCTCTTCTTCCTCCGCGAGTGCGGTGATTACGTGCATTTGGTTCGCTGCTATGGGTTGGAGAATTGCCTGGACCTGGCTCACTGTGGTGAATCGGTGGACTGTTTGGGTTTGGTTCGCTGCTGTCATGGGTTGGAGGGTTGATTGGATTTGGCTCACTGTGATGAATCGGTGGACTGTTTGGATTTGGTTCGCTGTTGCCGTGAATCCGGGGCTTTTGGCGACATAGCCCAGTGAGCGCTCGTAAGGCATCTGCCCACGCGATATTGTTGCCTACACCCTTGTAGTAGTCGGCAATTACAGTTCGCAACGAACACAAATTGGGCTCCTCGGCAGTAAACTTTGATGCTTCTGCACCACCAAGTTGCAGTTTTATTTCTTCATGGTCCACGTTGCTGAACCAATCTTTTCTTGTCCGGTCAAACTCTGCGCGCTCTATGGTCCGTTTCCGCGCGTTAAGCCGCCTTTGCAACGCAAGATATGCCTTGTGCCCGGCTGGATCTTGGACGCTGGCTGCTCTGAGTGTCTTGGACTTGGCTCTCAACCTCTTTGCTAGTCGTTGTGCATCGGCTGTCATCTTGACAATTTCTGGGTGTGCCTCAAGGTCGATCTTAGACCGGTCAACTTTGACTGGTGCTCGGGGGTCTCTCTTGGCGCTCATCAAGCCAATGTTCCGGATAAGGTCAGATCGACTGACGGTTCCCAGGTATGCGCTCTGTGTGTCGATTTTCACGGTTTGATGCAAATAATGCTTCCGGAAGGTGTCGGCTCTTGAGTGGCCCATGATCTGATTTCTCTGGACCTCTGATACCTCCGGAGCTAGAAGCTCAGTCAGCTAAAGGATCTCGATAATGGAACGGCGGAGGCAAAAGAAAACATACAATCCACGGCATTCGCAGCTCCTCTGCGCAAAACGTAAGTAGTCAACCTTTGTGGATAACCTGATAAGACGCCTAATCGCCCAACATAGTGATTTAAATCGCGATATGCCATCGGCGTAGTCCGGGATATATCCGTCCCTTCTTGTCGCCGAAATACCGGAGTTTCGAGCATATCCTCTTTCCAATTTATTGATAGTGTCTCTTTGAAGTCGGGGATTTCCAGCGCAAATAGGTCTTCTGGCTTTTTTATTCCGCCTTCCATAAATGCGTTATCGGCAAATGCCAACGCTAGGAAATTCATAATGGGACAAAATATTGGGTTGTCTCGCCTCTCGTAAAGAACGTATGTCACTCTGGATGAACGTCAGCCTCCAAGTCGTATTGATGGGGGCGACAATATACTCACGGTTCACGTTTATTCCTCTTGCCCTTGAGAAATGTAGTGGTCACTTCTAACACCAGAATCACACCACCATGTTCGCCGTTCCTTAATAACGATAGACCCATATCCTATAATTATCAACACTTGTACAAGTCTCAAACAATTACGAAAATACCTTGTATTTCAATACCTGGCTAAGACCCTTATAGGCATTAGCCTCGATGATAGAGCCCGGCCGAGATGATGTGTATGCGATAAGTTGCATTAAAAAAGCAACCTGTATCTTATAACGACCATGACATGTACTCTGTACGTCTCGACACCAATGGTAATATAACAGGTTAAATAAATCGGTCACGCAGCAAGTTGGCTTCTCTTTACGCTCCATTATAAGATCGAAATCCTCCGTGAGAGTCGACTCGATAAACTGCGAAGTTCGTTAGTGACAGCCATGTCTTTTTGATTTTCCATTCCCACCTTATTAATGGCATCGTTTATCTTCCTGGGAAGTTGCACCTGGGTGTATTTGTAGTAGACCATTTGCAGGGTTTTAAATAAGCCCTCTACTGTTGATCTGTGCAGACGTCCCTTCTTCTTGATCGTGCGGGAAGATCTCAGACGATATAACAGATATAGTTGAATTTCTGCCGTGGTTAATAGCCTCAGGGCGTCCGTACCCGTGCGTAAATTGCGTTTACACAGAACAGTTTCGTTAAACCTGCGCAAGCTGTCAGATACTGAAATCCATGTCTTTCAGAAGAGAATGAACAGGTGGTACGGAGTGCCTCACTTGTTAAACCAAACCCAGAACGACTTGACCGCCTCCTGTGTACTGGGCGCAAATGACTTTTCCGTGATCGACCCGGACCCAGTTTCTAGTTCTGCCCACGCCCCCTCCCAATCAAAGTGTTCTCTCTCTTCATCCCCTAATGTCATGTCGCAATCGTCTTCACCCAATGTCATATCGCAATCCAAGTCCATCTGGTCGGCGAATTCGGGATGTGGTTGTTGGAGTCGCGACATATTGGGTTTTTGTATAGTATTGGAATTCTGGGCTCGTGGGTGTGAGGTAGAGGATGTGGGGCAGAGAGCTTTCTGATACAGCTGTGAGCGGGCTGGTCGTCGTATTTAATACATTCGGTAGAGACATGGTGAGGCATGGCGCGTGTTTTTCGCGTTGTCTGATGAGGTTCGGTTAACTAACATCGTTGCCAGGGGAATATGAGCCATGTTAGCAAGGGTAATACAAGAAGTTATCGACGTCGGGATTCTGGAATATGGCAGACGTTTGCCTCGACATCCTTAGGTAGAGTAGTTTCGGGTGACGGATGCGGCGTCTTTCGGCTTCAGTAAAATCGAGGCCGTCAGGCTGCTTATTCTATGTTTGAGCCTCGTGCAGAAATGGAAGGTCCATAATTTTCCATAAAAGACCCACCATAGCCCTCAACACGGCTGTGAGAGGCTCCCAAGATTAACTCTACATACGCTAGAAATTCATTCCCTGCATAACTTCTTAAACCCATGGACTCTTCTCAGTTTCGTGCTGCGGCACATTCCGCGATTGATCAGAGTTTGTACCCAGCCTGGTCCCTGATAGTAAACCGCAACATGAACTGATAATTGGAGCAGTAATCGGTTACTATGATACGATTGAAGACCGCAGGGTTTTGTCTGGTGTTGAACCTGGATATCTGAAGAACCTCCTCCCAGATGGCCCTCCTGTCGATGGGGAAGTATGGGCTGAGATTCAGAAGGACATCGAGTCGAAAATTATACCTGGTATAACACATTGGTAATTACTTGTCCTGTCCCAAGAAGTATAAATTACAAGGCTCTAAATCTAACAAAACCCCTAGGCAATCGCCCAACTTCCTCGCCTTCTTCCCTGCAAACTCAAGCTACCCAGGAATCCTCGGCGAACTGTATTCAGCGGCGTTTACCTCTGCAAACTTCAACTGGTTGTGCTCTCCAGCTGCAACAGAGCTGGAGACAATCGTTCTTGACTGGTTATGCAAGCTTCTCAATCTCCCCGAATGTTATCTTTCGACGTCTCCCAATGGTGGTGGGGGTGTCATCCAGGGTTCTGCTTCAGAGGCGATTGTTACGGTTGTTGTTACGGCTCGGGACAGATATCTTAAAATGTTGTCTGCAGGGGCTAAGACGGCAGAGGAGAAGGAGGAAATAATTGACGCCCACCGACATAAGCTCGTGGCGCTTTTTAGTGATCAAGCGCACTCGTCAACACAGAAGGGCTGCCAAATCGCTGGTGTCAAACATCGCTCAATTAAGGTACCTGGTTCTCCAACATCAAATTATTCTCTCACTGGTCCATTATTACGTCAAAAACTCGAGGAGCTCAATGAACAGGGCTTGGAGCCCTTTTATCTAACACTTACACTCGGACTACTTCAACCTGTGCGGTTGATAATTTTGCAGAGATCATAGAGGTTTTGAAAGCCTATCCACAGATCTGGGTCCACGTTGACGCTGCGTATGCTGGAGCTGCGCTGATATGTGAAGAATTTCAACACCTCACAGCTGGGTTTGAGAACTTCGACTCGTTCGACATGAACATGCATAAATGGCTGCTCACAAATTTTGATTGCAGGTTTGTTTCCCATCCCTACCTAGATATGAGTATTGTTAATTAACGTATCAAATTTAAGTTGCCTGTATGTGAAAGAACGCAAGAACCTCTTTGATGCTCTTTCAATAACTCCCGCTTATCTTCGCAACCCTTTCACTTCTTCCGGCGTGTTACCGACTATCGTGACTGGCAGATTCCACTCGGGCGTCGTTTCCGTGCCCTGAAGATTTGGTTTGTGATGCGAACATATGGAGTGTTCGGTCTCCAACACCATGTTCGCAACATTATTTCCATTGGCGAGCACTTTGCCTCGCTTATCAAATCCCGGCCAGATTTATTCACTATAATTGTGCCCCCGGCATTTGCTTTGACCGTATTTGTGGTCAACACTGTGAATGGCGGCGGGGCAGAGGAGAGGAATAAGCTTACAAAGACTGTTTATGAATCTATAAACGAAGAGGGTAAGATCTTTATCACAAGTGGTGTTGTAGATGACATCTACATGATACGTGTGATTGGGGCTAGCTCCAAGACAAGGAAAGAGCACTTAGAAAGGGCGTTTGGAATCATCGTAGAGATGGCCGAGAAGGTTAGGGGTGAGAAGGAGGAGTATAAAAACGCTGATGTTGGGGAAGTTGGGGAGGTGCAACTTAGGGGGCTTTAGATCCAATCTTTGTAGATGAGCGCTCGGTCCTATAAACTAGAATTTTATATAGGTACATCCTGTGTATGTATGGGCAGTAAAGCAGCCTAGGAAGATAATGGAGGCAAAAAGCTCTCACAATCTGATCAGACCCCTCAAATCAAAAAGTCTTCAAACACAAGCTATCTGTTTCGTTTTCTACGATAGACCTTGTATATAGTTGGCTGCCCTGTAGAAAACGGGGCAGGATATCACTGGCCAATCCACATTATCTTAATGCCCACGGAATACACAACACCCAATGTGCCTGGCTCGGGCAGAGATAGCATAAGCTTAAGTAACGCTTCTTTTAGCTTTTCGCCTCTAGCATACATGTACTTGATCATCCCCTGAAGGTAAGGTATCGGGGATAAGCTTATATGCACACATGCCTTGCATACGAGTGAGAAATCATGAACCAAAGAGCTCATCTCTGAAGCTTGTGCACCTTACGTGACGTCATCGGCAAAGAAGTTTCAACGTGGTGTTTCAACCTCGGGAAACGCTTGGTTCGATACCTATCCGATGATCAGCAAAGTAAAAGCAATTCCTCAAGTCGAAATAATAGAAATTCTATTAATGTTTCCAAGACAGGTAGCTAAGGGCAGCGGGGAAGAGGCAGTTGCACGTGTCTCAAATCCCCCCATGACCCGTGTTACAATCCCTTCCGGATCCCCCCACAGAGCCTCAAGACGACTACTGTAACTCCCTTGAGCTTCGTCCCCAAACATCTCCAACATTCCCAAGAAATAAACAAGAGAACGACATACCGCACTAACCATGGCCGAACTGGCCAACACACTAACGTCTTCCCTTATCGCCGCCGCCACATCTACCGCTAACGCGACGGGAGACCTCACGACTTCACATGTGGTGCACGACTCAACACAACAGAGCATATTTTGGCTCTCGGTATCACTGATATATAGCGCAGCATACCTACTCCAGAGAATCAGCTTTTGGATCATTAGCTTTAGCGGCTATACTATTCCAACATGGCTATTTACGCTTTTTAGTACGAGCTTGACGTTTACCATGAACTTTACGACGCTGTTTGTTCCCTTAGACCCTTAGGTCGTACCGCTTCAGCAAAATGATAAGAATACTGATCTTTGTGAGGTTAATGTAGCTTAATTATACTACTCTTATTTGGATCGATAGTGTCATGGGCCGTCCGTTACCGACTACTCTACAACTACAATCGTCTCCCACACGAACCGCAGCGAAAGGAGCCAGAAATCGACCTGTTCCCAGATAGCCAAGAGGGGGACTCTAAGCCAGGTCTGAGTAACTATCTAGATGAATTTTTAAGTGCGATTAAGGTTTTTGGGTATCTGGAACGACCCGTGTTCCATGAACTCACAAGGAGTATGCAGACAAGGAAACTGCTTGCTGGTATATTCTATTCCCGTCTGGTCTTGGATGAGCGAAGTACTGAATCCCGCGATTACTAGGAGAAACACTACTACTCGAAGAGGAGAAAGGGTTTTGTATCGTCGTTGATGGTCTTGTCCAGGTGTTTGTCAAAGCCGCCCGCACTGCCGCCATGGAGGCGGATGCGGGACCGGCCGGATATGGCGGCGCATTTCACGACGAGGAAGAGGAAACCTTGGAAGATAGTCAAGGTTACCAACTCCTCACGGAAGTGAAGAATGGCGCGCCGATGAGTAGTTTATTTACCATCCTAAGCTTATTCACTGAGGACGTGAAGTTGCGGCATGAAGATGAAGATGAGGGGAATATGTCCACAAGTAGTAGTATGGTAAACCTACATTCCGCTGGTGACCTGAATCCGTATGATACAGCGGACATTAGTACTGGAAGGTATCAGCAGGCGAGAATGGCACCTGTTCCCCCGTTTTCGCTGAATGGGGGTGGAGATTCGAGAAATACTTCGAGACCTGTTACTCCCGGAGAGGGTCAGTCACATAATCATCCTCTCCCCCAACCGCAGAGACCACAAAGGCCACGAATGAAGAAATCGAAATCTGTACATCCAGATATCGTGGCCCGAGCTACCGTTGATACGACTATCGCAGTCATCCCAGCGAGCGCGTTTAGAAGGCTCACAAGGATATATCCTAAAGCCACGGCCCATATCGTTCAAGTTATTCTTACAAGGTTCCAGAGGGTTACGTTCCTAACAGGATATAATTATCTTGGCCTAACCAGTGAGGTATTACGGACCGAAAAGTTCATGAATAGGTACACTATGTATGAGCTTCCAAACCACCTGCGTGGTGGGGCTCTTGACAGGTTAAAAGAAAAATTTAAGAGCGAGCAAGAACGCGCAGAGTTGGAGGATTCAATGAAAGGAATTGTTTTACATAATCCTGGTGCTGCCTCAGCACGGAGAAGAAGATCCAGTAGTTCTCTGCGCAAAGAGGCGGCGGTTCACGCCCGTCTTGCCGCTGCTAGAGGTATCCCATCGCCGGCGTTAGATGCCGCTTCTTCGCCATTGAGGAACAAGCCAGTCGATCTACCAAGTTCACCCGCATTACGGCCCAAGTTTCAGGGCAGTCTTTCGATTGCAAACCAGATATCACCGTTCTCCCAGGGCTGGACTGTATCTCAACCTTCCGGGCTAGATGCAGAAACTCCAGGGGCTGGGGAGCGGCCTTTTAACCCGTTTTCGAAAAGGGCTGCAAAGTTTATGCCAGACGGAACTGAAAATGAGGATATGGTATTCCGTGAAGCAGTTTTGGAATGTATGTTCAAAGCGATTGGATTAACAGGATCCACGATCAATACCATTACCGGAACTGAATCTGGCGACCAATCACCACGTCTAGTATCATATGATTCCATGCGCCAAAAGGCAGTATTCACAAATGCATTTGGCCATTTTGACGCTTATGACGGGTCCCACGATGGAGAAACTGATTCAATTGCCAGTACCAGTGTCAGTGGTGCTAGTACAAGTGGATTCGTCAGTGGAGGTATTAGTGGCATACACGCTGATCTTAAGGATGACGTTGAGATTGTGTTTTTCCCTAAAGGTGCAGTGCTTGTGGAGCAGGGTGAGAGGAACCCAGGATTGTATTATGTTATTGATGGATTTCTTGATGTGTCTATCCCGGTTGATGAGAAGGACAGTGGAAGTGTCTTGGGAGGAGGAAACAGTGGCACACCAATGAATATTGGCTCCCTTGGAGCTGATTTGGGCCTACCACCTTTAAAGAGACAGAGCTCATTTGCCAGCAGTTCAAGTCAACGCCCATCAGGAATGGGGAGAGGGAAAAAGTTGGGTAGAAAAAGTTTGTTTATGATTAAGCCTGGTGGAGTTGCGGGATACATTGGTTCGATCAGCAGTTACAGAAGTTTCATAGACGTTAGAGCTAAGACCGATGTATATGTGGGCTTTTTGCCGAGAGCGGCGCTGGAAAGGATTGTCGAGAGGCACCCGGTTGTCTTACTTACGATGGCGAAGAGGTTGACGAGTCTTCTACCAAGATTGATTTTGCACATCGACTTCGCACTCGAATGGTTACAAGTTAATGCTGGTCAGGTCATTTACCATCAGGGTGATGAGAGGTATGTTGCATTTTCCGACCGCTGTTTTTCAAGGTTCGTTTACTAAACATCCCCAAGTGATGCGATTTATATTGTTCTCAATGGGCGCTTGAGGGCGATACTCGAGAATGAAGATGGGGAAATGAGAGTCGTCGGAGAGTTCGGTCAGGGAGAGAGTGTCGGCGAGCTAGAGGTCATGACCGAGACAACTCGTCCGGCTACACTCCATGCCATTCGCGATACTGAAATCGCCAAATTCCCGAAGTCCCTGTTTAACAGTCTTGCACTAGAACATCCAGGAATCACAATTCAAATTTCGAAGATTATTGCGTCAAGGATGAGGGCATTAGTTGACGATCCGCTTTCAGAACAACGTAGAGGCATTGAACGTACCGGGAGCTCTGCAGTAAAAAAGATTTCTTCCACAATGAACCTAAGGACAGTCTGTGTGTTGCCTATCACTGCAGGCGTGCCGGTTGGCGAGTTCTCGCATCGTCTCTCAAACGCACTCACACAGATTGGTGCCCCCAATGGCGTAACGGTCTTGAATCAAACTGCAATTCTCAACCATCTTGGCCGCCATGCATTCAGCCGCATGGGCAAGCTTAAACTTCAAGGCTATCTTGCTGATCTTGAGGAGCGATATGGAATGGTCATCTACGTTGCTGATACCTCTGTCAATGCTCCATGGACACAGACTTGTATCAGTCAAGCGGATTGCATTCTATTAGTAGGATTGGCTGAAGGCAATCCTGCAATCGGTGAATATGAGAAGTTCTTGGTAGGAATGAAAACAACGGCGAGGAAAGAGTTAGTACTATTACACGTAGAGAGATATTGCACCCCCGGGTTGACAAGAACATGGCTTAAGAACCGTATGTGGGTTAACGGTGGACACCATCATATCCAGATGGCGTTCAGGACCACCCCAGAGCCAGTCCATCCACAAGTCAAGAAGTTTAGTGCGTTGAAGCAGCGAGTCCAGATCTTGCAAGCTGAGATCACTAAATACACTTCCAGACGGATACGCAATACACCAGTCTATTCTTCCGAGACACCTGTTAAGGGTGATTTCCATAGATTAGCGAGAAGATTGTGCGGAAAGTCTATTGGCCTTGTTCTTGGTGGCGGAGGTGCCAGAGGTATTTCACAAGTGGGTGTAATCAGAGCATTAGAAGAGGCAGGAATCCCTATCGATATCGTTGGTGGAACGAGTATTGGTGCATTCGTCGGGGCTCTTTACTCAAGAGATGCTGATATCGTACCCGTCCTGGGACGCGCGAAGAAATTCGCGGGGAGAATGGCAAGTTTGTGGAGATTTGTCTTGGACTTGACATATCCATCGTGAGTACTCCATGTGTATAGTCAGTAGACTTATCATACAGATCACTAACTCTTCCGCCCGCAGCGTATCCTACACCACCGGCCACGAGTTCAACCGCGGTATTTTCAAGACCTTTGGAAACTCGCAGATTGAAGACTTCTGGCTCGAATTCTACTGCAACACCACCTCCATCTCCAAGTCTCGGATGGAGATACACACCTCCGGGTACGCCTGGCGGTACATCCGTGCCTCCATGTCACTCGCCGGTCTTCTCCCACCTTTGTGTGATGAAGGTGATATGCTGCTGGATGGTGGCTATGTCGATAACCTTACCGTTGCGCACATGAAAAGCCTGGGTGCAGATGTCATCTTTGCTGTCGATGTTGGCAGTATTGACGACAATACACCGCAGCAGTTTGGAGACAGTTTGAGCGGCTTTTGGGCGTTCTTCAATAGGTAGGTCTTGCTGTTTTACAGTTGACTTTGATGAACCCTCTAATGAGATGAATAGATGGAACCCTTTCTCACCACACGCTAACCCGCCGACGCTGGCCGAGATTCAAGCCCGTCTCGCCTATGTCTCTAGCGTGGACGCACTAGAGCGAGCCAAGCTGATTCCTGGGTGTATCTATATGCGGCCCCCCATCGACGCATACGGGACACTTGACTTTGCAAAGTTTGACGAAATTTATAGAGTTGGTTATGAGTATGGGAAGAAGTTCCTAGAGGATATCAAGGCGAAGGGAATGCTGCCGAATGAGAGTGCTACGGGGCAGGTAGGTAGAGGCTTGAGGAGGACGACGATGGCGCCAAGGAGGGCCAGTGTTTAAATGCCCGAGGGGGTGAGGGCACGTAGATTATGATACCTTTTTTTTTATGCATTTGGCGTTTATTGTAGGGTCTCTATAACTATGAGCCTAATAGGAAATTGATATTCTACTTAGTCTAGGGTTGTGAAGTGAATATCGTCTCGCTCTTTCTAGGTAGATTAGAGTAATATGATTACATGATTCTAGCTGGAACCCACTTTTTTGGTACTGCTTGTAGACGATGATTCTCTTTAAGCTTTTCATCCTCGGCCTCTTCCTACCATGGAACCATCAGCTATTTCTCTTACCATATTACTTTATGAGTGTTGTAGCTACATATGGTATCACAGTAATACTGAGTTGTGTAAGGTGTCGGATTAAAATGGTATTTTGGCCAAAATACTGAAACAATAATTGTTTTACCGGCAATCATTTCCCCGACTCTTTACTAGAGATAAGCGTACCCACCCTCGGCCAGTATGTACGAGCTGAGCCTTGTTTCGCAAACTCCCACATGATATACTTTGTTTTTGTTTTTTCTCCTAGTTCTTCTTTTTTTTTTTTTTTAAATCAGTGTTTCATTTATTTCTGGGTACAAGAATATCGCATGGAGCCTAGGCTATGGCGTGAACAACACCCCTCCCCTACCAAACCGCCGAAGTAAACGGGACAAAGGAGAACTATCAGTATACATGAAGCAGACGTTGAGAAGAGACCCTGGCAATCCTCCTACTGGCCAGCAAGCTAAGAAATTCGGACGTCCCCATCTGGGGCGATGTACTTTCGTACCAGCTATGCAAACTATGGCAGGACATAAGAGAGAGAAGAGAACAAAAGAGAGCAGGGAGCGGACCCTTTTAGGAGTCGGGGTCGTGACGCTTGTGGCCGGGTTCTTGGGCCTGGTGTGGGCGTGGGTGGCCTAAGCCGAGCTTGATGAGATAGAGGTGAGGTCGGAGTCTGAGGATAAATCATAAGGTGGCGACATGGGCGGGCCCATTTGTGGGGGGTACCCGGTTTTAGTGGCTCTTATGTATGAGGAGAGGGCTGCTAGTGAGGCGGGAGGTGACCAGAGGTCATCTAGAGACTTTGCGAAGGGTATGTGGGTTGCCCTCTGGGGGCTGCGCTCAGGGCAGCGTAGGATGGCATGTTCGAGGTCTTCGTCTTCGAGAAGGCATCTGGGGCATGTTGGGGGGAGGTCCTGGGTCATCCATGTTGGGTGAGCCGCTAGGTAGCTTTTGTGGGCGCGCATTTGGCATATGCGACCTGCGATAAAGCGGTCGAGTGTGAGGTGGGGGTGGGGGCGTATGCTGATTGGGAACTTATAGTAGTCTGGGAGGGGGTTATTCCTCCAGATTTGCAGGGTGTCTCTCTTAATGGAGAGCGCCAGGCCTGGGTGGATGGAGTTGGGATTCTGGGAGAAAGTGGGGGAATTGGTGAGTAGTGTGTGGCAGAGGTCATCTATGGGGAGGCGGGCTACCCCTCTTCTGGTTGAGTTCCAGTTGACGGGGGGGTTTGGGCGGCCTCTTAGTAGATGTCGGTGGGAGGTCTCCCTGTAGGTGGAGAGAGTATGGAAGGAGTCTGGGGTGCGTGCGGTGACTGGATTGTATGCGGGGGATGCGGCCTGGATTCTGGCGGCGTATCTTATGCGTAGGGAGGGGATGTAGAGGGCGAGCGGAGGGAAGGATGTTTCGGCTTGTAGAATGGAGAGGGGGGTTGATCTGAAACAGTTGGTGACCCATCTGAGAACTGAGTGCCAGGTGGTTTCGAGCCTTTTGAGTGCCCGGGCGGTGGGGATGAGTACGGAGGCGCCATATGTGAGCATGGGGAGAATTGCCATGACTGCAAAGCGTCGGCAGTTGAGGGGAGTGAGGCCTTTGCCAGCTGAGGCAAAGCCTCTTATAATGGCGAAGGAGGCTTGTGCCGAGGCACATCTTTTGGAGAAGTGATTAAATGTGTTGAGGTTGTCGGTAAGTTGTAGGCCCAGCCAGCGGATTTCCCTTTTGGGGTTGAGCGGGGTCCGGTTGAGTGTGATGGGGAGAGAAGAGGGTTCGCTTCTGTCAGCGCTGGTGCGCCAGTGAATGAGGTCTGTTTTGGGGAGGGAGAAGTGGATGTTGCGTGGGGTGCCTGTGTCTGTTGCCCTTAGGAAGGCGTTTTCTAGCAGGGTGATGTTTTGTTGGTAGGATGTGGAGGCGACTGTGAAAGCGAAGTCGTCTACGTATGAGATGGTGATGCCAGGGGTCGGGTCTATATGTAGTGGTGCTACATATATGCAGAATAGTAGCGGTGAGATAGGGGAGCCCTGAGGTACTCCAACGGCTACAGGCAGGGAGGCTCGTGGGCCGCCTGGGAAGAGGAGGGTGCATTTGCGATCTGAGAGGAACGAGAGGACCCATTGGACCATATACGGAGGAGTGTTTTTGCTGCGGAGGGTATCTGCGAGGACGGAGGGGATGACGTGATCGAAACCCCCTTTGACATCTAAGAAGAGGGACGAGACCTTCAGGCCCCCGCGTTGGAGGAGCCTGACTTCGTGTAGGAGAGTGGTTGCGGCGTCCGCTGTAGACAGTCCTTTGATTGAACCGCATTGGTGGGGGTGTATGAGGCGGGATGAGGAGGCGAAAGCGTGAAGGCGGTATGTCACTATTCGTTCGAGTATTTTCGAGACTGTCTCGAGGAGGACAATGATCCGATAGGCGGCGGGGGAATTGTAGTCTGGCTTGTTGGGCTTGGGGAGGATGACCGCGAGGGCGCTCTTAAGCGCTACCGGGTGATATCCGCTTCTGAGGAGGGGGGTGAGGAGTTGGGGGATGAGGGATGGGTTTCCTTGGTGGATTCTTTTCCAGGCTACGGGGGGGAACGTGTCCGGGCCTGGTGCTGAGTTGTTTGAGGAGGCGGCTAGTGCTTTGGCTACTTCGATGGCTATCACTTCTGGGGTGTCAGGGAAGAAGCCAGGTTGTGGTGCCGGGTTGGGGTTTGGTTGGGGGGGGAAGAAGTGGGATATGAGGGCTTGGTTGACCTCGGCTGGGGAGGAAGCGTTTGGGAATTTGGGGAGTTTAGTTTCCTTGTTCCGGATCATGGATTTTCTGAGTGCCCAAACCTGTTGTGAGTCGGCCTGGGCTATGTGGTCGTTCCAGTGCCTCTTCTTGGCTTCTTGGATGGCCGAGAAGTATGCGTTGCGGGCGGCTCTGTATTCGAAGGGGGGTGACAGCCCCTTTCTGTATGCTCTGGCGACGGAGTTGAAGATCCGTCGGAGTGTTGAAAGGTGGGGGGACCACCATGCCTTTGACCATGAAGACGGCCTTTTGGTTGGGGTGGCGGCGAGGACTGGTTCGGTGATGGTAGCTAGAGCGCTTCCAAACCAGTGGTCGATGGGGTATGAGATTGGGGGGAGGGAGGTTTTGCGGAGGGTTTCTTGGATTGCAGGCCAGGGGGCCTTTTTCCAGTCGGGGATGAGTGAGGGGGGGGAGGTCATGTTGGGGGAGAGGGTGAATCGTAGTTTGATTGGGGTGTGGTCGGATCCTGCATTGGGGAGCTTGTTGGACCAGGAGTGGAAGAGATTGAGGGCGGGGGGGTTTGCGAAGGCTAAGTTGATAACCCCATGTCTTTGGAGTGGGTTGGGGGAGATTCTGGTAATCCTGCCGGGGATATTGAGCAGGGAGTAGCCATTGGCCGCAGCTGTGGAGAAGTAGGGGGAGGAGAGTGACTCCTCTCTTCTATTTATGGTGCGTTGAGGGTCGGTGCGGATGTTGTGTATATTGAGGTCTCCGCAGATGATGGAGGGGTTTCGGGTATTGCGGAATATCGTCTCTGGGAGGATTGATCTTCTGCTAGGTGAGATGTGTCGGTTATAGGCATTCACTATTTCGAGTTGTGCTGGGAGGGAGGGGGTGTCGGAATTTCTCCAGTAGATGGCTATGCCGAAGACGTCGCCTCTATCGAAGTTGATGGGGAAGTATGAGGTATGTTGGAGGAAGTCAAGGTGTATGTAGAAGGCGACTGACACGGGTTCGTCTTCTGTTGTTGGTGGGAATACGCATTCGTAACCTGGTGCGTTGAGAGGGCGGTTGAGAATGGTGAGGGGTTCTTGTACTGCGACGATTTGGGGGGGGCGTTGCTTGGAAAAGGAAGAGAAGAGCGAGAGGAAGACTGCGTTGCTTTTTGCGCAATTTAGTTGGATTATTGTAAAGAGATTGCTGGAAGGATCTCCGCTGGATATGTCTGATCGATGGGTGGATGAGGGGGGGGGGGGAGGAGGGGAGGGAGGAGGATCGTGCCGGCATTACTGCGTCATGGTTAAGTCCTCTTCCGCAGATCCTTCTTGTTGGGGTGCGGGTACTGATGTGGACTGGGGGGTGGTGGGTTGTGGCAGGGTGACCGGTGGGGGGTTGCCTGTAGTGTTCTGGGGGGCGGGTGTGGCGCCCTGGGGGGCCGGCGCTGTGGCAGCGGGCTGGGTACGGGAGCGCCTTGCAGGGCATTCTCTAAGGGAGGCGATGTGGTTGCCGGCGCAGTTGATGCACTTGGCTTTCCAAGTGGCGCAGCACTCGATGACGGGTTTGAGGTGGCCTTCATTGGGGCAGGCTTGGTTGGGGCAGCGATGGTCTTTGCGGAGGTGGTTGCCTGCGCAGAGCGGGCATGTGGGTGAGGACGATTGACATCCTTCTGTAGCGTGTCCTAGGCGGGCGCACTTGCGGCAGAGGGTATTAGGGGACGCTGGCCAAAGTTTATTGCACCGGCGGGAGCGTCCGAATAGGCGAATTTGGTCTCCGATCTTGTCCGTATCCTCGGCAGGGATGGAGACGACAATTGTGGTGGTAGTTTTCCCGATTCTGTTCTCGGGTTTGGTGAGGTATCTGGCTTTGGCGATTGAGGCTCCGGTGGTGAGGGCGATAGCTTCAGCGAGGTGAGGAGTGAAGAGCGTCTCTGGGACGTCGAGAGCGAAGATGGGGACGTTATGGATAGCGTAGTCGACGTTAGTCGGTGCGAGCTGGAATTCGTTGAGTGGGTTCTCAGATGCGTTGCAGGCGAGGTTCAGGACTGCGAAGAGGCCGGGGAAGTAGGGGGCGATGTCTTTGGCAGGGGTGGAGGGGGAGGCGGTGCAGGTAACGGTGCCATTGCGGTTGACCTGGACTTGGAGGGCGGTATGAGGGTGGGTGAGGCCTGCATTGGCCAGGACTCTTCCGAGGTCGGATGGGAGTCTTGCCTCAAGTTGTTGGTGGTTCGGGAAGGGGGCGGGGTTAGACCTGGTTGCGAAGAACCGGCGTTGTGCGGTGGGGAGGTTTGTTGCTGTTTGGGGTGTTGTGGGCCTGCGGGGGCCTGCATTCCGGGTGGAGGGGGGGGGGACAGTGGGGTGGGAATTGTCGTGGTGTTGTTTGAGTTTCTCGGCATAGGTGAGGAGGCGTCTATTGCCGTTTTGGTCGATGGTTTCGATGGGGTCGTTTAGGTGGAGCTCTGTTCCTTCGATCGGGGTGGCTTGAGGGGGGGGGATAGGCATGGCGGGGCGGGGGGTTGGCGGGGTTGGTGAGCGGGTTGCCTTTGGTGGAGGGGGCGGGCCGGAGGGCCTGGGGCTGGAGAGTGGTGGGGAGTGTGGTTGTTGATGCGTGCGTTGAGGAGGGTGACGTCGGCGGTGTGTCTCGCGGCTAGGGTGCGGACTTCCGTAGTGAGTTTCTCGACTTGGGTTGAGAGGCCGAGGAGGAGGCTAACGATGGCCTTGGCCGGGTCCATGGAGGGATCTTGGGCGCTGAAGGTGGAGGTGATGAGCTGCAGGAGGTCGTCCGTAGCCGGGGATTTCTCCTCTAGGCCCATTTTGTTGAAGAGTTTGAGCCTGTCCGCTTGGTGGAGCAGGGGGCCGGCAAAGGCTGCTTTTGCCTGAAGGTATTCTGGAAGGGGGTGGCCTGCCAGAAGGGGGGCGGGGTTGGAGCTCATGACTGCAGGGGGTATTTTGGGCTGTGAAGCCTAATGGTTAAAGACTTTTCTGCCTGTGTAACGTGGTTGTAACGTAAAACTTGGAGGAGATTTCAAAAACTCGGTACAATAGCGGGGAGAAAGGTGTTCTCCTAGTTCTTCTATCGTCTAAGTATATATTGTCCAATCAGTTGTTCGGGCCTATCCAGCGGATAGGCCCGCCGATCATTCCCAGGGTCTCCGGCGAACGCCGAGACCGCCGGTTTTCGTCGGCTTGTGTCCGTTGACTATTAGCTCAGCTCCAACCAAGAGCTACTCTGGATACCCAGTCTGGCGGCTTTTCAGCTGCAGGGCGCCACAACCTAATCTACAACTATCTAGATGCAGATATCTGGCATTTGGTGAGTGGATGGATCCCCACCTATCAACACCCCATGTAGTTCGCTCACTTAATGCCAGAGCCTTATACTTAGTAAACGTGGAAGAGGGGGTTTAAATAAATGCCTGTTGGCTCCCATCCCTCTCGTCTCTTGCTTGCGTCTCACTGTAATTACACAACAAACTTCCCCAGACATAAAATTATACCCAGAGTAAAAATGGCGATACAATCAGTGGTACTAAAGACGATCTACGTCGGGACGTTCATACACTCAGTGTCGCTGGCAGAGCTGCAAGTCCTAAAACGTTCTGCGGTAGCAGTTGACGAGTCGGGGAAGATCCTACTGGTGGAGCATCCGGTGGAAGCTAGCATGCTTGAGATGTGGGCGAAAGAAGCTGGTACAACCATCGTGGAGGCTGGTCCAGGGCAGTTCTTCTTTCCTGGCTTAATCGGTATGATGCAATTATTCTTCCCTGGACAGCTCGTAGAGAGATAACCCAGTAGAGTAGCTGCTAACTAAGCCTCTGGCATTAATTACAGATACTCATATCCACGCCTCACAATATCCAAACTCCGGGATATTCGGCAAATCGACATTGCTCGATTGGCTCAACACATATACCTTCCCCTCGAAGCTTCCCTCGCGAAACCGTCCAAGGCAAAGCGAGTATACTCCCGCTGTGTAGCCCGGACCCTCTCCCACGGCACTACGACAGCGGCATACTACGCAACGCGCGATGTCACTTCTACAAACATTCTCGCGACCACCTGCCACACCGCTGGCCAGCGCGCCTTCGTTGGACGCTGCTGCATGGACTGCATGGCTCCCGATTACTACCGCGATACCGATGCCGCCACGTCGCTCGCCGACACTATCAAGTGCGCAGAGTTCTGCGCGAAGCTAGATCCTAAGGGCGAGCTCGTACAGAGCATCATCACGCCGAGGTTCGCGCCGAGCTGTAGCCGTGAGCTGATGCGTGACCTTGGGGATTTCATGGCACAGAGCGGCCTGCTGTGCCAGACGCATATCTCGGAAAATAAGGGTGAGATAGAGTTGGTTGCTAGCTTATTCCCCGAATGTAAGAACTACGCGACTGTATACGACCGTGCTGGGCTGTTGAGCGAGAAGACGGTGTTGGCGCATGCTGTGCATCTTACAGATGACGAGATTGCACTCGTGAAGATGAGGGGCTCGAAGATAAGCCATTGTCCAGTATCGAATGCGGCGTTGACTTCGGGTGCAGCGAAGGTGAGGAGGTTGTTGGATGAGGGCATCGTTGTGGGTTTGGGGACGGATGTGAGTGGCGGATACTCGCCGTCTGTGCTGGAGGCTGCGAGACAGGCTACGATGACAAGTCGGTTTGTGTCTCTCACAGAGGGTGAGGAGGCAAAGCTGAGCGTGGAGGAAGCGCTATATCTTGCTACAAGAGGAGGCGCGGAGGTCCTGGGGCTACAAAAGACGGTGGGTGCATTTGAGGTCGGGATGGAGTGGGATGCGCTGTTGGTGGGGTGCACGTTCGTACCTGATGAAGAAGAGTGCGATGAAGACGAGGACCTACTACAGGCGAAACAGGCTGTAGGCGGAGGCATGACCCCAGTCGATCTCTTTGGTTGGGAGAATTGGGAGGAAATGGTGGCGAAGTGGTTATATTCGGGCGACGACAGAAATGTGCTGAAGGTATGGGTTAAAGGACGCAAAGTGCACGAGAAGCCTGCGTAGTCGAAGCATGTGTAATGTGTATTTACGACTTTATGTTTTTTACTATTTCTTTTTTCTTTCTTTTTTTCTTTCTCGCGTTCCATAGGATGTAAATGTGTAAACGCTGTTAGAAAGGACGAGATTGATGGCTTTTAGATGAACGAAACCTGGATAGGGCGAACTCCATATATTGATATACATGGAATTCTAGCTGGTTAGGCAGTCATGCGTCTGAGCTAGATTTGAGAAACCATAGGCTTAAGCACTTTAACGTTGACCTATAGCATTAAAAACGCACATAAGCTTCATTTAATTGAGATTTACGTAGGTCTGTCCAAAAGCAAAATTCATTTGAATGACGCCTATTATAGTATTCAGCTTTAGGAGCGCTTGAATATAGTCTCATTACAGCTCTGTGGACTGATGAAATCATATTCAGGGGATACAAATTCAGAACTCCGAGTGAGATATTGTGACCATGAACATAAATGGCTAGAATGGAACATTGTAGGGTAACCACTTTTGGACGTTCAAGCCTTCCAACTGCAACCCAGCCTCAACCGCGGTACTTACATGTATCTAGCTGCACACTAAGGAACCAGTATCGAGAAATCGACACGTCATCTGCAAAAGAATGCGGAGCGGAAGTTATTTAGCTTTCTTTCGGGTGCATTTCACAGTCTGGGGGAATGCGCTGGGGGGAAGGAGATGGGGGGATGAGCATTGAGCACACATGAGCTGCGCAGGGCATCGGGAAATAAGGTTAGAGGACACAATGCCATACATGGACCCTGGAGCATGAAAGTAAAATGTAGGAGAAGAGCTCTTGCTTCTCTTGCTCATCTTTATCCTCTCCTGAAACTTCCGCATCAGCAGAGTGACTTTAGCAAAGACTCCATATCACCAAGAGTCAGCGGGAAAGTACCGTCGATACAAGTACACTTGGTTCATGGTATCATTCTTGGACAGCATTGGGCACTCGTTGGTACGCCTACTCTGCTCTACATCTGGATCTACTAGGTTCACGGGTTACTGGAGGGCCTAAGCGCGTTTCTAGCGATTGTAAATACGTATACATACATGTAGGCCACAATAGAGTACCAGAGTGCGTTCTCTATGTACCCCGGGCTGAGATGTCGGAACAAGGTGTAACTGAAACATGGAGGTATTTATTACCCCCGTTCATTTTATCCCGGTACATAGGATCTACGTCCAAGGGTATGACTGGACGACCACTTAACGCCTCACCCCCAAAATAACCGGCTCCACATCGAGCCGCCTTGAAAGAAATGGCTCTCACGGAGAGTAGCCGTATGTACATCTCCCGGAGACGGCTGTACCTCCGTGAATTACTTTTGAAGCAAGGAACAACTTTCCTGACTCACTTGAGAACGTACCTGAAGACTTACAAGCTAAACACTCAGCCACTTCTTTTACAACCTATTGGCGCCGAAACGGGCTAGCTCGCGCCGAGCCGGGGCGGCGAATCATATGCTATCACTCGTGTTTTAGTCTGTCTTAGAAATCGGGAACTCCCGTTAGATACGCGAGCGGATCAGGGCATTTTTAGGAGTTTGAATCTGGAGTATCGAAACCAAGATACTCACAGACAGTCTATTCAAAGACCATAACCAAGATCGCTCTTCAGGATCGTTTCAGGCTACTGGTGCCTTAATACCCAATCAGTTAGCTTAATACAATCGAAACCATCCTATCGAATCCTCTGGTACCGCCAACGATGATAAGAAACAAAACTTCGATGGTGGTGAGCCGACATATTTCCCTATTTAGCCAGCGACAGTTCCTAGAGCCGCAACGGTTCGTGGCACCCCACCCTCTTCGGCAGAGTCAAAGAGTTGAAACGCAACTTCAAGGCGTCAGACCGAATCATTCCCCCTGTCTGGAAAACTAAAAGAGGGGCAAAATACGTGAAGAAGGAGGGGTGAGAAACTAGCTTTGGTAAACGTGTTCGTCCATCCTCTTCGCATGATAGGCGCCATCTGTTCGTGTCGCGGGAAGGGTGAGTGAAAGAGCTGCAACGCGTCGGCCTGTATGCAGCTTTATCGTAAAAACCTCGCTCGCTGGCCTATTCCCAATGGGATTCTTGCAGTATGCGTAACGTAGGCAGCTCCCATTCGTTCGGATGGTTAGGTGTGGCTGTGGCTAATGAACAACTCAGCGTCGAGGGTTGGATCCGACCAAGGCTAGATTCCTTTTTTCTTTCCTTTTGGGATCGATGATCACGATTACTTGCTTGTATGGGGTAGAGTTTTCTCGACTATTAGAGGGGGATGGGTTTCTCCTCTCTTTTGCTTGCTTTGGTTCAATCATATCAAAATTATCAAGTGCATAATTACATACCAATTAAGGAGCTCCGAACTTTTTTATCTCAAAGGAGTCCATCAATCTTCTATATCAACTAGAGTTCCCCCGCCTTCACCTTGCCTGCTTGACAATTTCACGCCCATCAGTAATATATATTCAACATCAGCACGCGCCAAAATGGACTGCAAAACATACCAGCAAACATCCGTATACATCAACCTAAGCAGTCGACAAGAGCTCTCTGCACTCTGCCGAACCTGCAACGGCGATTGGGTCCGTTCAACAATAGATCTCAATGGCGTCCTCGGAAATTCAGACGGTATAGCTTTTCCGGCTCACTCACGTCGACCTTCAGCAGCTTCTAACAAAACCCTCGTCAACGCAGGCACCTTCGACTGGACCTCGATGAATTTTGGCGCCAGCGCCAAAAACGTCGAATTACAGGATGGAAAGGTCCTCAGCGCGAACCTGCAGCGCAAAGATGGCACATGGACAGATAAGCCCGTATGCGTAAACCTGACCGAGCATATCCAAAACCACAACGGCACTCTTTGCCGCGGAGAGAGGGAGGAGAGTGAATCTACCATCTCTCCGGACGTGCGCGAGAAATTGCAGGCTGTAGCTGGACTGATTACAAGCCAACAGTCGGCGATGGACAATGCGGCATTTGAGCTGGATTATTTGGTTACATCAAACCAGCGCTTAGTTCTGCAGGAGCTTGAGGTGGCATTCTTGAGGCTGGGGAAGCTGGCGGGTTGTATCAGGGGCGAGTTTGATGAGGAGGTGAAGGACGGCGGTGTGCCGAAATCAAACCCCGACGCGGTATTGAGGCCAATGATTAGGTCGTTTGAGAATGTAGCGACAAGGACGGAGAAGGCGCTAGGATTGGTTGAGAAGATTTATCAGCTTGTAAGTTGTGGCTGTGTTGAAGCTAGTTTGGTTTTGGAATTCTGTACTAATTGTTGATTTGATAGGCGAATCAACACCAGATGTCCGGTCTACCATCACTACAAAGAGATGTCAGCTCATTGAGGGCAGAAATCACTACTGAGGTTGATGGCGTGCAGACAACGCTTTCGGAACTTCAGGAAAAGATTAAGGAGTCTGCTGCCGCAGTAGAGGCGAGCCAGGCTCTCTTCAAGGAAGCGCAGGCCACCAAAGAGAAGGCGAAGAGCATGGAGACCTTGGTAGGACCCTCTTGCCTTTTGATCTACGATAGAAAATAGTGGACCCTTACTAATACATCTAATAGATCAAGCTCTCAGGCTGGGTCCTTCTCCCAATCGGCATTGGAATGAACATCGCCACAGTCGACGGCCCTTTTTGGGATGCCGTTAAAAGCAACGAGGCCAAAATTAAAGAGCTGGAAGAGGATGCAGCAAAGCAACAAGCCGAGCTCACCACCCTCACCCAGAAAGAAGCCGACTACCACGCAACCCTGCACGCGCACGACCATCTCGCCACACAGCTCGACACCCTCACCGTCAATATTGTCGCCATTAGTTCGCGCGCCGAGAGCGTACGAGAGACTATTGCAGCTACCAAAGGGCTCATGGACGCGCTGACCGAGATGGCCAGGGATCTAGAGGACAAGGGCGCAATGACGGACTACCAGGTATCGAAGAAGGAGTATGCCGCGCATATTGTGTGTTTACTCGATATGGCATTGCCATATTTCTCAGCGGTGGGAGAAGTGGAGAAGATTTTGGTGGAGCTGGAGGAAGGCGATGATGAGAAAGGAAGTGTCAAGGAGGATCTGAAGAACGAGATGGCGGTGGTGAGGGGAAGTTGGAGTTGGTGAGATTGTGTGTCTAGATTACTTTTTCCCTTTTCCTTGGATGTTCCTTTTGTGTTGTATAGGCTTTTCTTTTGTATAGCTGGTGTTTTGTGTGGCGTTTTTGGGTTTGTGGACTATTTTCTTTTAGCTTTTGGACTTTGGACGCGGTTGTTTGGTTTTTTAAGTTTGGGTTGGTACGGGTTTGTTGAGCTTGGCTATGATTTAGCCGACCTGGGTCGACAACTGTGTTATAGACACAAAATTGGAGCATATATATTATGGAGTTATGATAGATCATAAATCTCAACATTTTGAAGAATATACCTACCGTCCATGTCTTAGTGATTCTTCGTAATCGGGAGTCCAATTTTTTTCTTTCTTTTGATACCTAGCATAGCTGTGCACGTGGTTGTAGCACGCAAGGCCGATGAAAATACTCCTTAAAACTTTAAATAAGGGATCCGCAAGCCGAGTGATATTATATGACTAACAACACTCAACTCAACCACGAAGAGCAGAATCACAACACTACAACACCACAACACCACACAATACCACAGATGAAAGCCAAGCCACCAGATTTGGCATCTAATTTCAGGATTCAGATTCCTGCTTTCATCAGTGCATCTCCGTCGCCGCTCCGCGCAGGATGGCATGATAAGTGCGATTCAGAGCATGACGCACATTGGTGCTCAGATCTTTTATGGGCCTTGGAAAGCACTTGGACATCAGCGGCACGTTACAGGGTGCGGGAAGTCTGATTTCTGCGGTATTTCTACGAGCCAATGGGCCGAGTCTGATTTGCGGGGCGAGTATGTACCCGGGGGTGCCGGAAAGTGATGCAACGATCAAATAGTCCTCAACAACCAAACTAACTAACAGAACCTGGAGCAAATATATGGTAATTTAGAAGGTGGAGATCCTAGCTATGGTAAGAGTTAATATGAATAGCCATTGCTTCTCCTTTTATTACTGTCTCTTGTCACAAGTTGTTCTTTTGCGGGCTAAAAACTCCAAATCAATGCCCTGAAAAAAAATGCAGACTCTACCTATTCTAGAGACTCATGTATATGGAGCGGTAAATGTGTTAAAAGTAATTTTACCAACGGTAGTAAATTATTTTACCACCGGTGGTGAAAATAATACCAATTTTTATGATAAAAGCACAGACCTTTTGGCTAAAAGGGGCCATAGAACGCCAATATATGGCCCAAATGGGCCATATAATGCCACTATATATGAACATTGTCCACCAGTGGGGAATTTCACCACTAGTGGGAAATTTTCGAACATTTACTTATGTAGTATAGCGCAGTATAAAGACTGAAATTCAGTGTTTATACGGCACAAGTGCTGAAATTCAATGCTTATACCACCGGTGGTAAAATCACTTTTGACACATTTACCACCCCATACATGTATCATGCATATGACTAAAATATCTATCTTGTTCAAGCATTGTGTTGTGTTAAAAATTGATTTCCGCGTTGCTAGGTCAAACGTTGTATCACTTTCCGGCACCCCCGGGTACAAGGCTATAGCCAAACAACAACAGTACTTATACCCTCATCCTCAAGCTTCTACGTAGCTACCTTATCTTCATGGTGGTGATATTGGTTATAAGAGTATTCAATATACGCTTTCTGAGCAAGGCAAGGACTCTTACCTGCCTACGTTAATCAAATCACACTTTGTCACTCGAAAGGCTACCTCCCCGCGAGCCGGCGTTATCTGCCGCAAATCCTCTCGTTTGTCATAACTGAACACCCCCACCACTAGAACCGTTCCTCATTTTGTGAGCAACGAAGTCTGCCGCCCAACTTTTGCACTTTCTGCGAGTGGGATGAGGGGTTATGCTGATCTCTAAGTGCATATGTATAGCGCAGGGGCAGGCTTATGGGACACCTAGGAACCCCCCACTTATGTTTGAATGACCCCACTGGCCAACTTGGTAGAATCGTTGGTCCATGGTCCACAGACCTCGGGATCAGGGCGTGCCGTTCAACAGAAGAGCCGAATATTGGCGCGCATCATTTAAGAGGTTTCTCTTTTAGCGAATAAGATATTGTCATCTAAGTTCAACGGACGCATACAACGGGGATGATTACCTCAAGAGGGGAGGGTAGTAATAGTCTAGCTAATAAAATAGTGATGGTTGGGGTTTTGTTCACGCCATAGCGTTAGCTGCATGCGATATGCTTGTACCCAGAAATCAATGAAAAGAAATAAAAAATAGTGATGGTCACGTGCTCAATAGCGTAAATTGTCACACTACATAACAGTCTGGACGCTCTCGAAAGTGATTTGTATATTATGCTATAGAATATGAGACGACCTATCCATCCGCCGTTCTTAGTGGTCTAAAGAAGCCTCTCCAGGAGTCCTCACACAACCGGAATTAGTCGTATGAGCTCCGACATTTTTTTGGTGGGCACCCCAGTCGGTTACTCTGATGTTTAATGGGGCGTGTCCTGAGACTTGCCAGGAGTTGAGGGGAGAATTTGGTCTACTTGACGGACGAAATGAGTCCTCGAGGCAGCAAGATACAAAGGGCAATTGATGACCATCCAAGTTCAACGCAACTCCTTTTCAATAGGTAGGTGTTCACAATCTGTACCACATGGAGCCAAAGGCCTTCTAAGCCCACCGTGATATTCTTATATCACAGTCTTACCAATTACCAACCCTCGGGTAAGCCCGACGTGCCGGTCGACGCATTTATTCCTCGGGCATGAACGAAACACACAAGTAGGTTTCTTATCTTATCGTCATAGGGTTAGGGTTAATGTACTTGAACCCCACCCTCAGACGGCGGCCTGGCTAGATTAATAGGTATCATTACGTGTCTACCCACAGCCCGGTAAGGGATGAAATCGGTCCTCGGGATATCCGTTTCCTGTCTGACAGCTGCTAAATAATTAACACCTAGCCTATATCGTAGCACTTCTAGAAGGTATGGGGAGAGATCCTGGTCCGTAATTTTAGGTGTGCTACATGGTATTATGACATGCCCTGAAATCTTACCAGGGAAATTTTGGGTGGTACAGGATGTCGCTCTGTGGATAATTTAAATGGTGGTGAGATCGTTAATATGACACGTCTTTGTGTATAATTTGATAGTGTGTACATCTATTTATGTACTGTATACATACAGTATTCTAGGTGGGGAAGTCTAGTACTCTACACGGTGCCCGTAACACCGAAAGTAAATTTGTACGGAATCGGGATGATCAGCGTGTACAAGATTGTGAAAAAATTGTCCGATTGGATATATCCTCCGAGATGTCGGTACAGTTACCGATATGATAGTTCTCTCTTAGTGGTTTCCTTGATGTCGGATGTTTCATTTTAGTCAGGATTGGATAGGTTTCAGTGCCACTCGCCAGGTTTTATCCGAAGGCCCTCAATCTGGGCGTTTTCCGCATGCGCATGACGAACTTTTAGAACTTTTGACTCTACCTTCGAGCTTGCGCTCTGGTTTCGGGTTGGACGATAATCCATGTAGTGAGGAACCGAGGCTGCAGACAATTCAAGAGCGATTCCCGATGCTAATTTTTGAAAATGTAAACCGGTTTATACTTATCTGAATATTCGAGTACGATCGAGGTAATCTTGGTTAGTGCCTTATATTTGGGTATGGAAATAGGATATATCTGTGATTTCGTAGCGAGTCCGCGCTGATCAACTTGATAACTATTTAACTCCAATCAATTAAGGGCCCGTTCGGACAACCTTAGATTATTTCTTCGGGTTATTGGACAGACTGGATTATCAGGTAGCGGAAGTGATAATCATAATACTCAAAATAAGTGGATAATCTACATGTCCGGATAACGTTAGCTCTCAGGATATCTGTGTTGTGTGGGAATAATTACCTCCGGAGGTGATTGTTTTCTTGGCGGATTATTGGATAATCAGGAGTTCCGAATGTTGGATTATTCAATTGCACGAACAGCATAGATTATTGTGATAATCCAAAAGTCGATAATCCGTCAGATTATCGCCAATAATCTAGATTATTGGGTTGTCCGAACGGGCCCTAAGGTTTAATCATAACAACATAAGAACCATCTTCAATCCTCATAAAAATGAATTTCAATAACTCCTAAGTCCGCCTTGGTCCCGTTGTACTGCATAATGACCATCGGACTTCGGGCTTCGGCTTCGGCTTCGGCTTTAGCTTCGAGGAATGTCACGACACCCGTGAAGAGTTCAAGCGTAGTATGTGGCTATTATTCGTTGTTGAATTTAGGACTGGAGGGGAATCATACCATTCTGTCAGAGCGGGGTGTGTGTGTGTGTGAAGTCATTTCATACTGTCAGAGCGGGGTACATACGTGATTAGTATATGTGACTGCTCAATTATATAAAGCGACATATCAGCCTCCTTACCATCTCAAGCCCTCAATCAGATCAATACCCACAGGTAAATTCTTACCATAACCAAAATGACGCAAGAATCCCCCATCAGTTTTGGCGTGCTCCTTCTCAGTGATTACCAAGTCCTTGACTCAATTGGACCCATAGACCTCATCTATAACATCACTTCATCCTTTGTCACTGCTGCGTGCCCCTCTCCCGCAATCGCTGCGAAAGCTCCACACATCACCTTTCACTTCATCTCTCACAGCCTCTCTCCAATGCAACCCGCAGGTGGGCCTCTCCAGACCCCGACCTGCACCTATACAACCTGTCCCAAACTCGATTACCTTCTTATTCCCGGCCAGGACCCCATTGCCCCGCTTGAACCTGGAGTGAAAGAATTTTTGCTGGAGCGATACGATGAGGTTGAGAGTGTCTTGACGGTGTGCACGGGATCGCTGGTATTAGCAAAGGCCGGGTTGCTGGAGGGTCGATCTGCCATGACAAACAGGGTTTCTTTAGCGATGATGGCGAGGTTGGGCGTTGTGCCAAAGGGAGTAAAATGGCAGCTAAAAGGACGGTGGACAGTGGATGGAAAGGTGTGGAGTAGTGCTGGCATTACGGCGGGAATGGATATGACGGCCGAGTGGATGCTGGAGAGATTTGATAGGGAGGTTGTCGAGTGGTCATGGGAGTTGGGGGAGTTTGAGCCAAGACCGAAGGAGTGGGCAAAGTTTGATTATATCCTGGAGGGGATAGAGCTGTAATGTATATGTGCTGGTAAATGATGATTATGCATGTTAGCGGGTTTCTATGTAATGCATTATAAAAATCTCAAATTGGCTCAACAACACGATATAGACACTTTATCCTGTCATATCCGCGAATATAACTGCTAACTACATGTAGATCTCGTTAATATCAGTTAATATTATTCCCCCTCAAAACACATTCACACCTCAACGAGTGATAAACCATGATCCTAAAAGTTCACCACTCAGAATACTTAAACCAACATAGATATCACATATATTAGACCCCGCCATATAGAAACCAAACAGTCCACTAAAAAAATCTCAGGCCAATTAGATACGGTGGGTTCGAATTATTCATAAAACAGTACTGTCCTTCATAATTTACTACAAACATTTCTTTTTCTAGTTCTGTCTATGAATGTTCTCATCTTATCTCTAGCCTGACCAGAACTGGTTCTTTCAAAGTCGACGGCTTTCTTGCATTTTCGCTTATAGACCCGAAAGCAAATATTGACCCGGATCGGATCATTGGGAGTTTATTTGTTTTATATCTTTTATATCGAGGTATCTTGTTGCTGCCGAACGTTCCATGATCCAATTGGACGCCAACTTCGGAATTTCCCGCAAAAAAATGGTTGGTGGGACAGATCAGACAGCTCGGGAAAGCCTTGCAGCAGCCAGCCCCCGCATCGCCAGTACGGAGAAGCTTGATGATAGATACATCATCCTTGCATGCGATTGGTATCGACATCATTGCATCTTCCTTTACTTCAGTCACGAGTAAAGTAAGTCTGCCGTTTCAATAACTGACTTGGTACGTACTGAACTCTACATGAGATAACTATTATTGTCTAGCTTGCTAATCAACACAGCAGACGCGAGGATAACGACAATAACTATGGCCCCACGATATACGTCCGACATCGACGCCGCCCGGTTAACAGTTGTACGGAGCCTTGAAAACATTCAGAAGGCACTCCCCGACAACCGGCGGAGGAGCACTCAGAGCATTTCCGCTGCATTAGCTTTCGAGCTTGGAGGGAACAACAGCGGCAGTAGCACGGTAGTAACACCAACCAGCCGACGGGGGCAGATAGTTGCGAAAGATGACGATGATGCATGGAAGAAGCATCTCCGTCCTAGTGAGATCATGGCGCTTGAGGACCAGCTCGAGGTTTTACAGCAGGACATACGGGATCTCAATAATATACACGCGCGACATGTGCGCAGCTCGCGACAACAGTGGCGGTACGCTCAAGCTGAGGAAGAACAAGTTTCCCAACGGCACAAGCTCAGGAGGGTTGGTGAAGCTGCCGTGTTACCCCAGGTCACCTGTCAACAATCCACTAGTCCCTCCTCCTCCAGCTCCTCAGACGTGCGGATTCCAACAGCTGACAAAGACTCACGGTTGCTTTACCCCTCCTCGAGCTCTTCAAAAAATGGGAAGACCCAAAGGCAACAACAGAAAAATCAATCAGCAATGGACAGGCGGCCGCCTATGCAGAGACCCATGAGCTCGAGGGATATTCGCCCCGTTAACACGAAGACAAATTTACATTCGGGGAGCCACCTATCAAAAGCTGCTACAACTCCCCTATATCAGGCTCCTACGCCTGAGGTCATATCACCTACATCATCGGCCAACGTGTCCTCCAGCCTTGTTGGGGAAGTGCAACATTACAACCAATCCAATGCAAGGACCGCGAATAGAAGGTCAATGGCTGGTGAGAGCTCAGTTGGATCAGAGAGTAGCCATGGAAACCGCCGAAGCTCCATGTCAACTGGGGTAAGACGGCGTAGCATTGGGGAGAGGAAAGTCCGATTTGTCGAAGAAAGTATACGGGGGTTTCAAGAACAAACGAAAGGAGTAACTAGGGAGACAGATAACAGTCGGATTCAAAATTCATTGTCTAGATCATCATCGTCATCCTCACTGTCTTCTTGCTCATCGATATCTAGGGACGTGACGTCATCCTGGGGAGAAAACAATCCGGGGCTATTTGATACTCATTCACTATCCACTGACGACGACGGAGAATCATCTTTACGAACTTCTACAAGCTCTCGGAATCAAACCGACGACAAACTGGCCGAGAGTCAATCAACGGTGGAGCCTCAAATACATGCCTCTGTTGAAGTTGAAAAGGCGACAATGACAGAGAGTGCAAGGGATTTAATCGTGAGAATTTTCTCCAGGAAGAGCAGAGGAAAGGGTTCTACGTCTTCGAGGGGCTCTGTGTCCTCGAGCGGACGGTCTACGTCCTCAAAGTGGGATTCTTCATCCTCGAGGAGTAGTGTATCCGAACAGATCAATTCTCCGGTGGGCGGTCCGATAGTGGCCGTGAATGGGGTTAAATCCAGTGCTTTTTCATCTTTGCCAGATCCCGCCAAGAGCAATCTCAATAGTACCTCTCGGCCTCAAGAAAATTCGGCAACGAGCACACCAATCAGAAGCCTATTAAGGAAACACTCGGTGAGCTTGTTGAACAAATTCACTGGGAAGGACGGGAAAGCTACTGTCACACCATTGGGAGCGGTTTCAGAGGGGGCCCTGGCTCAGGCCAGGCCGACATGCGCTGTCTGTCTTGAGGAGTTTGACAGAAATTCCATGGTCCAAGTTCCCGCAGAATGCTTACATTCTTATTGCAAAGGGTGCTTAAAAAGTACGTTATATCTACCGTTTCCCTAGGGAATCATATTATTCTTCTAGAAAAGAGATAGCTCACATAGTCCGGGTATGGGCTGGCGTCTAGTTCTATTTACCCGTGCTCTGAATGATCCCCATGGCTCATTCCCGGTCAAGTGTTGCGGAACAACCACAATCGACATCTCCGTGGCGGGTACTCTATTGGGTGCGACTAAAATTGCGCGTTATAATGAACTGATGCTTGAATACGAAACGGCCGTTAAAACCTACTGCTACAACAAGCGTTGCAACACATTTATCCCGCCAGCAAACATCCAACTGAATGATGCGAAATGTCGAAAATGCCGGCGGATAACCTGTACGCACTGCAAGAAGGGGAAGCACCGGGGGGTTTGTACGGAGGATCGTGACAGTATGGAGGTATGTATTTATATTTAATCTATATATGTTGCTCCCCTTTCCCGGCATTAATTATCGTGAGGATTATTGATGGATAGGTTTTGGAAGCTGGAAAAAACATTGGGTGGGTACAGTGTCACAGATGTCAACACCTAGTAGAGAAGTCATATGGGTGTGAGCAGTAAGTTTCGTCCTATATGATCTGACTCACCACCTCTTCTAACTATCTGCCCACATCTAGTATTACCTGTCAATGTAAAGCGGAGTTCTGCTATAAATGCGGTAAAGAGTGGAAAATATGTTTGAAGGCACGGACTTGTAGTACGGGCCAGCTGGAGCAATAAAGGCCTGGATGTCACGTCAGGGCCGTCCTGCGGGGTCATGTTTCGATATTTCATGATTATTATTTTTTTTAATTTTTATTTACTTTTCTCATTATGTCAGGGCCTGATATAAAAGGCATCACCATAGTCGTGTTATGGGCGACATTCTATGTTTGGGAGTCAATATAATTAATGCCAACCGTGAGCCAACGATAGATATGTAACTGCTCATGTGTAGCAGTATGTCATTTGGTAGGGTGGTAAGACATCGTTCGGGCGGACCTGACCTAAGTTTGCTTTCACTTCAGACCAGGGTTATGATATGAGGTTTCAGCAAAAAAAAAAGAGCTGGGATTATGTTCCCAATCCAATCGGTCCCGCATACCTGGAACTGAGCATTCTGTTTCTTCTCAAGCTTCCATCCACCCCATCCATTCATCTACGTATGCATACGGTTCACAACCCTTGCCCGGTTTCTTCTTCCAAATAAACCGACAAGCGACGCGGCTCCCTGAATTTCTATGTTTCTGCGCGTCTTTTCTTTCCGTCTCTCACTCGTTATTTATTTAATTGGGAGGAATTCGATTCCGTATTTGTACCCCGATGTGACAACTGCCGCGCCGAGAAAAGAGAGGAATTGATACCCGACAGACAGGGCAGGGATCAGCCATATTAAAAACCGTTCCTACCTACCTCACCCTTTACTCACAGACCGCTTCACACAACCGAGGGATTGGTTCAGCTCCTGCAAGCAAGCTAGAAAGCGTGTGGGTGCATTACTAGTAAGAAACCGCAGCTTCGAGAATATGCTGTTCATGGGCCGGTTCGTTGTGTCGGCCGGCCGGCCAGGTGAATTTGGGACTTCATATCAGGTGTAGTTAGGGTTAATACTCGCCAGTTTGACAACAAGAATCAACCCATTAGCAAGAAGATAAATTTTAAAACCAGTTTTGACTACTGTATTCGGCGTAACTTTCTGTATTGCAATTTCACTTCGCGTGATGAGTATTAAATTGATCGTATTAAATCCCGACTTGATCCATAGCCAGGTAAGAAAAAGCAAACACTGCCCCCCCGTCCGTTCAAATCGGTCATGTCAGGAAAAACAAACGCCGAATACCTAGTTAACCTTTTTGTGACAAAAACGTCTGTATTTTCTACCAATTCCGGTGGGTGGGCAAACATGTAGTCAGTATGATGATAGCGGTGGTGGTGCTGTTCTTAGTGGTGGTTGTGCAACTTTGAACAAGATTACTGGGGGGAGGGCCGGGGGGGTTCCACGGTCCTTTAAATTGGGTTAACGTCCGTAGCAATACCTAGCAGTACCAGAGGAAACACCACACCCCCCACACCACATCCCATCGCCCGGGATTTTTCGTTTTGGGGAGGGGGGGCACAGGATGAAACATATGTTTCTTCCGTTAAAGGCGAGGTGCTTCCTGGTTGTAGTCATTTGTACCTCCCTCTGCGACGACCTCACCTCTTACCATACCTACCTGGCTAGTATCCACTATCATTGTTGAGTTTCTACCCCCACAATGATTCCTGAGAAGTAAAAATAAAAAGACACACACACGCTACCAATTGCCATTGATCGATGGTGAGAAAAAAGTAGTAGGCAATAAAAAGGAAACAAGATCAGT